TCTTGCCCTTATCCTCGCCCTTCAACATTTTGATGTGTATGTTTCTTCAGCCGGAGTTCCTATCGAAGTATTCAGTGATCACAATCCACTGGTTTTCATCCACCGAATGAAGGACAAGAATCAACGTTTGTTGCGATGGAGCTTGATATTATCAGAATACAACATGCACATACAACACATAAAAGGACAAGACAACTTGATCGCTGATTGTCTTTCAAGGCCATGAACACTTGACAAACACGCTTCATTGAAAAGAAAGTTAAGAAACTTTCTTTCTTTCAAGGGGGAGGGTGTTACATGATAATGCTTATATCATGTAATTTTACATACTATTATATTATACTATATAGCTTATACTTTATATTCATATTATTAACCGAATAGCTTACATGCATGAGTAAGCAAATAGTTTTAAAGATTAAGATGTCCCACAACTAACGTAGCGGACATGACTCGGTTTGGCGTTGGCCGATTTGTGGTTACTGAGACTTGCTTCAACGAACTGTATTGCGTAGGGGAAATGAGTCGTAGTTTTGTAGTTTCTTCCCCTATAGCAGAGCGTATAAAAGCCTGAGCACAACTAGACAATTCATGCATTATTCATAAGGCGAAAGCCTGAATAACATCGCCGTGAAGATATATAGAAATTACAAGTTAATAAAGAAAGATTTAAAAGGATTATACAAAGGCGAAGATATATATAAAGATAAAGAATTGTCAGGAATTGAAGAGTTGTGCTCAGTCGTGAAAAGAGATAAGTTTGAACAGTACATTATTATTAAGAATTATATTATATAAGTAAAAGTTATAGAGACGCTAATTATTGAGATTTGAGTAATATATAAGTAAGAAATAAATATATCATTGAAAGTAATTGGTTTCACAATCTTTGTTGCGAGCGAATAGAACCAAAAGCGCGGCCAAATAAAATAGTAAGGACCGGCTCGTAACAATATATTTATGAATATTGACACAGCCCCAGGTCACGGGTCTTGCACAATGGTTCAAAATTATAATGCTTGTTGGTGTGAGAAATTAAGAACTTATGTGAAATTGTTAAGCGCTTAGAAGAATATATTGAGCATTTATAAGAATTGAGAACCTATAGGAAACAATTGAGTTCTTTACTAAGCAAAATCATTGTTGGTGATAGAAACTGTTTCTTTCGCAGTGTAAGCCACCAACTTTACCAAACAGAAACCTATCGTGCACAAATAAGAACCCTTGCTATTCAACATTTAATCAATGGTGCAGAACATTTTATAGAAAGTAATACTGATCAATCGTGGATGCAATATTTACAAAACATGTTGAGGCTAGTGACATGGGCAGACCATATTATCATACAAGCAGTTGCGAATTCATATAATTTAATAATTAACATCACAGAAAGTGCACCAAATTTCTCTGAACGTACAGTTGTGAGTTCTATCTATGCTAATGACCTGTAGGAAATGTAAGAGATATTTACATAGGACATCTTGATGAAATGCATTATATATCAACTACCCCCATTAGTGCAGCATACAAACAAAGGAATCCCAAACAAAAGCAAATGTAGCATACAAGCAATCCAATTCTGAAAAACGTAAGGTAAAGTTAAGAAAAGCAGATGATTTATACAGACAGTCAAATCCTGAAACAGTTAACTCATTAAGTTGCAGACTGTTGCAACATTGATACTCCCCAAGTTGCAAGGAAAATGGCGAATTTTAGTTACTGTCAACTGCTTTTACAAAAATATACCTATATCTCAAGATCTATGTTATAAAAAACCTTGAAGTTTGGCAGTGGGTTAAAATGATGGATCAATTTTATTTTAAATGAGCTCCCACACTTAAATATATCATTAGATTTTTGGGTGAGAATTCTTGGTTTGTGCAAATTTAAGTCCCTGACATTTTGTTTCTTCATGACACCCAACATCTGAAAGGCAATAATTCCATAACCTAACATAAATGGCCAAATATTTTTTGATTCCTGGATTGGTACACATATTCAAGTTAGTTTTCATCTTGTAGGGTATAAATTACAAAATAATCGAACGCTATAAAAATTTGCCTGGGCATAGCTCAGGCACACTGAGGACATCCAGTTTACAATGGAGAACTTGAACTTCAGAACTTGTTGTTCAAGTCCAAAAAATTTGTAACCCAAAAACGCAGTGTTTGTACCTCTTTTGAAGTTTTTAAATAACTCAAATATGTTTGGAAAAACATGAAGTACAAAAATTAATAATTGGAAAGTACATAAATGTAATGGCTTCCCCATAAAGAAGCCATTTCAGAGAAGAACCACATTTTGTAAACTACTGTCCTGACCTATTTTAAACTTTTCCTTGAGCTAATCGATGGGTACTTCTTAGAAAATGAGCGTACATTAACTTTATGATGTGCTTTATTGATTTAAAAATTTGATGGGGATATATGAAGCAATAAAGAGTATTTTTGACGCTTTTCAAATTCCTGTCATGAAGGTTCAGAATTTGCATGTGCCAAGTAACAGCATAATTCAATACACTGATTTTAAACCACATTATCTCTGAAATGAGAGCTCGTTTTGAGATAACGTTTATAGAAACAGATATAGTATTCATTGTAGAATATTCTACTTAGTTTTAATGCGGTTTTACTCTAAATTTTTCTTGCCAAAAATGTATATATGCACATGACAAGTTGAACCTACTGTCTTCTGAAAGTACTTCGGCTAAAATAACAACTTGAGCAAGAAGACCAACAGTAGGGTCATGAAAACAGTCGAAATCATGCCATAAAATGCACAAAAAGTTCTTCTAAAAACTTAGTTTTAAACTAGATTGAACTTGCTTTAATGCTACATCAAATTTCATGAAAACATGCCAGGTATTTTCATTCAAAAACACGCTTAAAAAATCGTAACTACTCACTTGGATTTAGTGTTCATATTTCTTGCGATTTCCCACCCACTTAGATTGAAAGAAATTGCTGTTTTTCTGGCTGAAAATCGCGCGACTTGACTTGAAATAGATGCACGCTCCCTCAAGTTTTACAACCTATTTTATATGTAAAACGCTTTGAAAATCTCTCCTTTTCATCCTTAAAACTTGCTGCAAAGTCCCATCTTGTGACACTTTGTGGTTGTAACAAGTTTTAAAATCGAAAATCTTCTCAACCTTTTGATCAATTTTCTTGCATGATGTACCGTTTGAAAGCCCGAATTTTGCACTTTATACTTGTGACTGTTGCTAGGTTGAATGTTTAGCCTGAGCAATAGACTTTAGAACAGTATATCAAAAATTTTCCTCAGTATCTGGAGTAACAGGCTTGCCATAAAACTTGCTAAAGGTCATAGCATTTGTCCAACCCCCAGCATTCATTATAGTATTCACCGACAGTTTTGCACATTTTGCTGCAAATGTGGCAGCAGCTCTTGTATTATGTGCCTGGAAAGTAGTGGTATCGATTCCAGCATTGTCTACCACCATTCGTAACCAACGAGCAATTGTCTCGGATGTCACTGGTTGGTGAGGTTTTTGATAGCTAATCAGTAGCTGTGTGTAGTTGGCTCGGAGAGGTTGTGTTCTTGCCAAGTAAGTTTGGAGGACTTCAAAAACACACAACTCTTTGTCCTCGGGATATGATTGCAATACCAGTTGGCTAAAATGTTTCCCAGGTCGAGAAATCTTGAGTAACTTGTTTATCTGAAATACATGTTGTTGAGTTGGGCTAATGTCTATCTTCATGCTGTCAATGTTCAACACATGTATAGTTTGACAGCATTGTCCGGATAACAGTGCAATTAGCATTGTTAACTTCGACTTTAACTGACGAAGGGTAATAGCTTAGATGGAGGGGATGTAATGTTTTAAGGTATCTTAACACGATGGCTACATCCCAAATATTCTGATAACATGGTAAAAACACCTCGTAGTAACCGACACACAAGTGGGTGATTGCCAAAAGTAGAGCCTTCCGGTGGAAATATGACAAGGGATAGGGCTGACCTGGCAGTGTTTAATGCACTGTAAGAAAAGATGCTGCTTTTCATAAAGATCACCAAGAAAATATATTCCTTGTGTGACAGTAGCTGAAATAGGATCAATATTTTGTTCACTACAGTACTTTTCCCACTGTCGGATATATGTGGTATATTGCTTCTTGGTTCCGTTTCTCCATGATTGTAGGATGATGTTTAAAGCTGTGTCTGAAAGGTCTCTACTTTTGAGAAGTTTCCAAACACCTGACAAAATAGTAGTTGGATTGTTCGGCTTGAATCCGGTCTGGCTCTGCTGGTAGCCATAGCAGTTTTGGTGTTCTAGGTAGAACAGGTTTTGCAATTAGCATACTACTTACATAGGGCCACCAAGATTGCGTCGGCCAGTGTCAGGAGGAATGAGGGTCTTCCCGAAATGCAACGCGCGAATCAGTGCGGCTCATTATTCAAGCTATTTATTCTCAACGTGCTGTTCGGTTAAAAACTGTTGAAATATATTGCGATTTTTGCCGTGAAGATCTCGTTTTCTCAAAGGTATGTTTTGATAACCTGTTTGTTTAGTTATTTTATAAAATAAGTTTTGAATAATTTTGTATACATATCACATTTTACATGTGTTAAGTTGTATTTATGCATGTTTTGGGTGTTGGAAAAGTGGCAATGAAATATTCTGGAGTAAATTGCACTTTTTTACAAGGAAACTAAAATAAAATCACATGAGTGAATTCAGGAATGTTTACTCTTTACTTAATTTTAACCATTAATTTACTCCATAAAACCGAAGAGTTATCGCGTTTTGAAAATGGGCTATTTTTGCTATTATCGATAATTAGCAAAAATAACTCATTTTCAAACCGCGATAACTCTTCGGTTTTATGGAGTGAATTAATGTTTAAAATTAAATAAAGAGTAAACATTCCTGAATTCACTGATGTGATTTTATTTTAGTTTCCTTGCAAAAAAGTACAATTTACTCTATAATATTTCAATGCCACTTTTCCAACACCCAAAACATGCATAAATACAATGGCAATATAATATAAGTAAAATGCGATATATATATAATATACACACACAAAATTATTCAAAACTTATTTTATTAAATAACTAAACAAAAAGGTTATCAAAACATACCTTTGAGAAAACGAGATCTTCACAGCAAAAATCGCAATATACTTCAACAGTTTTTAATCAAACAGCACGTTGAGAATAAATAGTTTGAATAATGATGAGCTGCACTGTTCGCGCGTTGCATTTCGGGAAGACCCCTCATTCCTCCTCTGGGCCAATGTGGTACAATGATAATTCCTGTGGCTTCATCCTCTCTAATCTTACAAAGTGTCTTTAAAATTATGCAGAAAGGAGGAAAAGCATAGAAGTGGAGCCCACGCCAGGATATGGTGAAGGCATTGATCACCTGTGTGCCTGGATCTGGGTGGTAGGAAATGTATTGTTGGCATTTTGTATTCAAGCGGGATGCAAATAGGTCAATGCTTGGGATAAAATTACATAGTTTTACTGCTTACTGGTATATCTTTAAATCTAATGCCCACTCTAAGTCAGAGCTAGTCTTCCTGGATTCTTGGTCAGCAACAATATTTGCTACACCAGGATTATGGGCAGTAGTAATCCAAACACCCATGCTGTATGCAGTGCCCATTTGATTGAGGCAAGAAACAGCAGTTGTATTATCTATCAAAACTTTAACATGCCTATCAGCCACTTTATCACCAAAGGACTGTAAACCTAATAGAACTGCTTTTATTTCTAAAAAATTGATATGCCCAGAAGCCTCCTCAGGAGTCCATTGGCCTCCTGTAGGGAGATCTTGCAGGGTGCACCCCCATCCTGTTTTAGATGCATCTGTGGTCATGGTAAGATCAGACTCCCCATTACTTACAACATTGTATGCAGTTTCAACATTATCAACCCACCAATTTAGGTCACATTTTGCACTACTGGGTAAAACCATAGCTTTATCATAGTTGCCTCGAGTAACCTGGAGTGCAACAGTCTTACTCATTTCTAATGAACGATAGTGTAATGGGCCATACATGACCCCAGGCATACTGGAACTTGTGATACATCTCTGACGGTAGGCAAGGGTTTATTTAATAGAGAAGCACAAGCATCTTTAACCTTACAGGCTTTCTCAGTTGTAAGTGAGATACTCATATTAACTGAATTTAACTGAAACCCCAAGAATACAATTTGTTGAGTGGGATACAGCACAGATTTATCAAAGCGAATTAGTAAACCCAGTTTGGTAAACAGAGCAATTGTGTTATTGATATTTGCAAGGCATGTATCATAGGTAGCAACTTGGAGATAGGAGTCATCAATATATCCCACAGATAAATGGCTTGCTTGCCTCAAAATGCAGTAAACAGGTTTAAGCAGTTTTGTAAATTTTCTGGGGCAACATGCTAGACCATTAGGATAGCATGTAAAGACAGGTCACCCTTCCACTGAAATT